AATGCATCAATGTTTTTAGTTAGCGAAGTTTTCCGTTTAATATACCCTTCTGCTGGGCAGGCAGTTTGCCTGAAAAGGGTTTGCCTAGCTGTGGGCTAGTGCAAATTTACCTGGAGACATTGAGAAGGACAGATGGACAAGCAGATAGCTATTCGAAAAATTGCTAAAAGTTGTTGATAGAGAATGAGACAGAGCACGAAAGAGAAATAGAGAGAGAACGAGAGAGAATGGCTTAGGGGAATACCAATGCCAATGAAGTTCTTTTGGAGCGTAATGAGAATCACGTCGCTGATGCCAGCCTGCACACACACACACCCATAGAGAGAAAGAGTGAGAGAGAGAGAGAGAAAGTGGAATGGAGGCAGTTGCAGAGGTGACTATTATGCGCCATTAGGGCATAATTAAAATACTCGAGTTGCAACCATCCAGCTAAGGAAGACCCTGATAATGACAACAGACGACGCTAGCGACAAAGTTTCCAATGCAAACTTGAACTAGTCCACAATAAAGAGACAGCGAGAGAATGAAAGAAAGGGAACCGGAGAGAGATGGAGGCAGGCAGAGCGAGTTGGCTGCTTTGCCTTAGTTTTGTGGTTGACAATAGTCAAGACATTGCCTTGAGAGCGACAACACCTGCATATTGTCCTGCTGCCAACAAAGCGGCCTCTGCAAATGCCTAATCTAAATAGAAAATTCCACTCCACTTCCAACCTGGCTCATTATATAAAAAGCCTCGCTTAAAAGTATGCAACGCACTTTTGTCAATCATCCGATCGCCCGTCGATTCGAGCAGACAGCAGAGAGCAGAGTAAAATGTTAGTTTTTCTTACCGATTACCTTTCAGTTGTGTTTTTCTGTATTCACATCGTAGATATGCTATATGCATTGCACACACACACACACTCCCTCTCCCGCCCTCACTCTCTCTGTCTCTTTTTGTCTCTGTCTTCATTCCATTTCGTATTGCTCAGCCAAAAAAAAAAAAAAGGAAAAACTTATCACTTGAGTAGTGTTTTTGTTTGCTTGGTGTGCTTTCGGTTTGCCTTTGGTTTTGGTGTATTAGTTGTGATGCTGCCGCATCATTGTTGTTGTTGTTGTTGTTGTTGCTGGTGCAACGCTCGTCTGGCAAACGGTTGAGCACTTGAGTAGCATTAAAGCATCGACGATTGTCTAAGGAGGAATGCCAGCAAACGGCAACTGAAACAGAAACAGAAACGGTAACGGTAACGGGAACGGTAACGGGAACGGGGAATGGTACGGATACGGTATTAGCTACCCGGTCGCTTCTATCGTGTGATGGGATATCGTGCCTTGGGCTTGCATATCTCTATATATCCATATATACATATATATATATATATATATATACAGTTTTATATTTGTCTGTGTGTGTGCTTATGTTTGGGGAAACTTAAGTGGATTGTATGCATATTTTTCGCTGCACGTTGCTAGGTAGCCCCAGATCCCTGGACGTAAACTAACCATCCATCCTGGCCAGCCTTCGACTTTTGCATATGCGCATTAAAAAGTTCTGATTTGAAGCTGTGCATTGTGCATGCAACACATAGCTGAATAAACACACTATCACACACACATACACACACACTTGAGCTATTTTGGAAACATTTGATAAATATTGATTGGGAACGAAATTTTGTTGCGAATCAAGAAGTCAGCATACAAAAATCTCTTTCTCTCCGATAACTGGCAGCCTATGCGGGCAACTGCAAATCTGTTTCAATAAATTCCAATGCCTTGCCAATATACAATATACACATATGTGTGCTATGTGTGTGGATATGTCTATGTATGTATGTATGTATGTATGTATGTATTTAGCCAATTAATTTGCTTTCAACATTTATAATCTCATTGAGAGCCATGCGGCGTATACGCAATTTGTCTATTTGGCAACTATCTGTCCGTCGGTCAGTGGGTCGGTCAGTTAGTTGTAAAGAGCGTGCTACTCGGCATCTGTTGGCTTTCGTTCGGCCCAATTACCCATAATTTTAGGCAACTTTGTTATTGTCGGCCTCTTTATCGAGATTGATTGATAGCAGAGCTTTAGTTATTAATAGCGCAGATTAGGAATAATATAACAGCTACACAAGTATAAAACAAGTAACAATGCTGTAGTCGAGTGAGTTTGACTGCAAGAGACCCTGAGGCCAGCTTATAAATATATATTAATTAATTCCATCCGTTGTTGACCTATCAATAAGAAATATGTTTCTATTCACAGGCCCGAACTGAAATCACCGACTTGCGGACTTACTATATATTTGTGTGTTATTCACACACTCAATCAAAATGTATCGATCCGCGATGATAATATGACCTAAACTTGATCTGCGCGAGGTATACGAGAACTTATATTCAAAATTGTACTTCTTTAGTTCTTATAGTCTCTGAGATCCGTGTGTTCTTACAGCAGGACAGACGAACTGAAAGGTTAGATCGACTTCGATATAGATCCTGATCGCGAATATATAGACCTTATGAGGCCTGCAGATGTTACCTTCTACCTGTTACATACTTTTGAATAAAATCATTATGCGTATTTTACGCATTGCACAATGTTCTCAGTTACAAATTGCCATAGCACATACATACCTCATTATATGGTATGCTATGTCAATTTAGTCCTTCAGTAATTGCAGCTTTTTCGATTTATTTTGTTTGCTTACATTTCAATTACTATATACGTTGAATGGCAAATACAGATTTAAACCCGCGACTTAAATGCCTAATTGTGGTATGTGTAAAATGCAAACGTGGCAAATGATTCTCTCAGGCTCTGAAATGGGATTGCATATGAATATAAACATTTGGTCATGCGAAATACTTGCATTCTAATTATGAGAAGCGTAACACACGATTGGCTAACTGGCTAACTGGCTGACTGTCCAAGTTAAGACAGGTATTAGGATTACAATTTTCGAGTCGTTCCTGTTCTCTTTGCATTTGATCTGTATTAAATAAGGCTTGTATACGCTTTTGTTTTAATTTTTTTTTTTTTTTTTGTAGACAGTCAAATAGAAAAAACAAGCAGCAACAAATGTTGAATTAAATTTTATCGCTAACTGCAGCAAATTACAATGACAATCAGAGAGGAAAAACATTTCGGAAAGCCAAGCTTTGAATACCCTAGCAGGCATATTATTAGCTCATTATTTTCATCATATTTTGCACCAGAAGAGACATTTTTTAATGCGAATAATTTTGGCCACACTCGCATAGTATTCAGAGTAAAACAGGCTTAAAATTGTGTAAGTGGATTATGTTAAAATGTCAATTCTAACCACGGTAAGGGCAGTCAAATGAGCTCGTTGTGTAATATGTGTGTGCATATTGTCATGGGAGCCGAGTTTTGCATTCAATTATTATTTAATGTGTTTCGTGATTACCAATGAAAAGTCCATTACTTTTAATTCTCCAACACACGAGTCGAACTTTCTGTATTGTCATCTGATTGTTGTCCGTCATATTGTCCGTCTATATGAACAAAAAGACAAGTCAAATTTGAAACTTACGTCCGCGTATACTGTTCAGATCAAGTGTTTCATTTTATCGATAACTCCTCCCGTTTCTTGAATAGCGATACTTTTCGATAAAAATCGCAACGTGACGATTTCAATTTTGGGCTTCTAAATAAATGTATGCGCTATTATTTTTATTCTTATTTATTTTATACACTTCAGTCAGATGTTTGCAAAACTTATTAAAGTGGAGTTGAATTTATTTAACAGTCGGGCTTAGGGCATATCGTAGTCGAGCTCACTTGACTACGGCATTCTTACTTGATTTATTTACATGTGCAAATGTATATTTAAACGCCTATATCTATGAATGAAATTAAGCATGTTTATTTTAGTTGTACAACAAAGCGATACGATTTCATTTTTGGGATTGGTTAAACTCCCAATTAATAGACCAAATGAAATAAATATTCTAGTATTTGAGCAAAGTGGGCAAGCGATTAAATTGGGCAGCTCCACAATATCGAACAAGCAACAGCAACTTCCATTCGTGAAACTGACCAAAACCCTTAAAGAATCACTCGTGCTGAACTTAATTAGCCACACACTTACACACACGTACAACCATACACACTCTGGCACACTCACGAAGTCTCCACATAGACAGTAAACTGTTTGTAATTATTTTTATATTCAAACGAAATCCAAATTAGTATCCTAGAGTAATACACATTGCACAAAGTTTTTACAATTGTATTTATTCGTCTTTTTGAATTGATAATGGGTAAGTAAACTAAGGCCGCGAATAATCTTTTGGTCTACCTTATATTTCTTACATAAGAACTTACAATTTTACAGCGACTCCAAACTCTAACAGGTAGCAAATTTCAGTACAATTTCGTGAATTTCAGAAAGGATATATACTTATTTACATTTAAATATACATTTATACATCTTTTTTTGTATATTTAGGAAATATTAGAAAACAAAATCTTTATAGTTTTCAGGCGATTCCAATTTAGAGCGAAGTTTTTCCGAGTGTTTCATATCTATTTTCAAAGGACAGTCTCGACTAAAAAGTAGGACATATTTGATTTATCAGAATTTGTCGCACTTCTGACTCTGTTCTTGATTATGATTTATGTGCGCATAGATATCTATATATGTATGTATTTTTTTTGCTTTGTTTTAGTGGCAATTTTAATTAGGATAGTTTGTGTCTGCTTTTGATTGATGCACTTGCCCACTGCGAATAACATAAAACTGACCAAACTTTCACATATACGCGTGCATGCGTATGTAAATGACCTCATAATAACATATGTACATATGTGGGTATGGTGTGTGTGTATGTTGTTGTTGTCTGGAAAATTGTTTGCAGCTTGCTTAAGTGCATTACCTGAATGTGGCGTTAATCCTTTTGCTGCCCCTTTTAGGTAATTAGTGTTGTTACGTGAGTGGGTTTATTCATATCTGGTCTGGACACATAATCGAAAATTTGTTTGCTATTTATATTTATAGTAATGCCGAATACGAAATCTGAACAATTGCTAAAGCTGCTGCTGCTGCTGGCCAGTTGTCTGTTTATGCTGCAACTTGCCACGGCTAATGATCAGCCGGATCGGGTGGAGGATGCTGCCAGTGTGGCACATGTGCGCAGCAAGCGTGGCATAATTTGGGACTTCTTTCAGAAAATTGTCATAACCAAAAATCTAATTGTGGACGTAAGTAGATATTAGTGACATTTGCCAAAGATACTTCTACACTGACACGCTTTCCATCCCCGCCTGCAGCAATACACAGACACTCGCAACACTTTGAGCGACATTTACAACACGGTCAATGAGCAATTCAGCGATCCGGCGCCAGCGAAGCCAACGAGTCAACCCAGGTCGACAACCGAAAGAGTGGTAAGCAAACAGTTCAAAAAATACACAAATAAAAATGTAATAAAAACCTGGTCCCAGCAAGTGTACGCGTTTGTTTCTTTGAGTGTAAAAAGTGCCTATGACGTGAAAATTACACAATATTAATGAAAATCGCCTTACTTTTGGCGCCTAGGGTAAATCAACTTATTATATTCAGGGAAATACTTTCTGTTTTCTTCAGTGTACATTTTTGTAAGAATGTAGAAAACATATTTCGAATTTCCAGCGTGTTTTTTATATGTGTATTCACAGAAGTTTAAATAATATAATCGAACCCGAGCCTATAAAGCAGACAAAAACTCAACTCGCGCAGCAGTCGATTTGCAGATAATATCTAAATTTAAATAAATTAACAATTAAATATATATATATATGTGGAGTAATTTATGTATATATATGCAGCTTTAGTCTGTTCAGTTGATTAAACAAATTCATTGCCTTAATACAAATTAATGCTCTCTAAATATAATTTTTAAACTTCCATCTTTACAGACCTTTAGTGGCGAGGACACTAGCACGGACCAGATAACGACAACAACGGAGAGCTACAGCATTTCTCGCTATGAGCTGGGCCGAATTCTGGGTCGAAACTTCAGGGGAATACAGCGTCTGGCTCAGACCGAGTTTAAGGAGGCACTCAATGTAATTTATTTGGCCAGTTTCTCTCCACATTAGTTAACACTACCAACCACAATTTCTACCATCTACGCAGGCCACCAACTACAATCTGAGGAGATACAAGGCGGAAGCGGATCAACAGTTTGCCAACAGTTTGGCCTTGGAAAAGAAGAACAAGCTGAAGAGTCTGAAGGGCTGAGAGAGGCAGTAAGGAAGGGAGTTCCTAGTATTGTAGTCTCTGTGATAGGCTCGACAAATACAAGTAGTATGCCAAACCAAACTTGGCAAATTAAGTGATTCTTACTTACGTACATACAAACCTAAGTTAATCGAACGTATTTCTATTGTATGTTAAGTGCTCATAACCTGGTTGTTTGTTGTTTTTGTTGTTGTTGCACATATTTATTTTGTAATATCGAATAAAGTACTTTTTGAAAAGGGAGTGTTGCCAGTTGCCGGTTGACAACATGCCGTCTTCGTCTTTCCTTTTGGAAATGTCGCCATTGCCGACTATTATGCGTCAAATTAAAAACTTTTCTACAATAATTCTATTGATAAACTTTTAAATAAAAAAGCCGTCCCAACAGCAGCACCAGCATACACGACAAAAAAAAATAAAAACCCCAAAGAAAAGGAACAAACGCCCCAAAAACTGCAAGCACCAACTTTCTTCAGAAAGTTGTGGGGATATCCATACACATAGAAATATATATACAAATTGTTTTTCAAAATAAACGCACACACATATATGTATGTATAAATATAATATATATATATATATATATATATATATATGTTTATTCAGATGCGTATGTATGTGAATAGTTCGTAGCTATTGGATGTTGTTGGCTGAAATCGAAGTAAAGTTGCAAACAAATCCGAAAAGTAAAGTGAAAAACACAGAGACAGCTCCGCCTCGGTGGCACTCCCAAATGGCAGAATGGCAGAATGGCAGAATGGCAAAGCGGTAAAATGGCAACTGGCATAGTTAGCAAAAAACCACTAAAAGTGTCATAATTCGATGCCCAGGAGATGCCTGTCTCGAAAGTACGTTGGCCAAAAAACTTTTGCGCCGGTAATGAGTGCCAGGCTGTGGCTGCTGCTGTGGCTGCTGCTGTGGATGTGGATGTGGACGTGGCTTTGACTGTGGCTGTGGCTGCCACTGTTGCATACTCTGGAGCTTGCAGCATGTAACACGTAAAAGCGCAGTGTGCATCCCAGTCTCTGGCCAACACAATGCTACCATCAGAGCCATGACATTGTCAGTTTGGCGACTTTATCTGTCCTGCCATCGTCCATCGTCCGACGTCTGCAAAGTTGCAAGGACAGGCAACAATGCAACCCGTCGCAGCAACGAGCGTGCAACTGCAACTGGCAATTGTCGTACGACTAAGGCGCAGAATGCTCCTTCAACTGTAATAGAACTCGGTCTCCGTCCCGGACTTGGAATGCCCTGCAAAATTGTTGACTTAAAACCAGTTCCTACAGAAGAAATTTCTCCTTGAGCTCAAGTCTTTTTCAAGTATTGTTAAATTTAAATTAAAACGAATGCTTCCGAAGTACGAAATACGACAAATTTGTGGTTTATTTTTGTTAACAACGAAAAACAGAACAGTTTTCTTCGCTTGCCGGATAAGATAAATAGACGAGTGTTCTACTGGAGAGTGTCGCATCGAAATACCCTGTAAGCAGTTCTAGCCTACATAAATGCATTGCATTCCTAAGAAGGATTGTATTCTATTCTATCCCTTCAATGCATTAAACTTTTATTTGTCTATGCTGCTGTATGATAAGATAGACACAATTTTATTTAGCCTCTTTTGTAGTAGCTTAAATAGGTGCAGGGTATAACCAATACAATTTTCTTATTAGACTTATTGGTATTTGTGTGCCTAAGATGTAAAATTAACTCAGAAGCAAATATCAAACGATAAGACGACGATTCGCTATTACTAATGTAAATAGTGTGCGTAAAATCAATGCATTGAATTCAAATAACTTAAGCATTATTAATGGCAATGGTAATTGCATAAGCCAATTACTGATTGGCGGCGGCCAACACGATGAGGAAGTGCCTTGTTTGCACCAACTTCATAAGCAGAATTTTGTTTTCTTTGCTTTGCGCTGTTTGGATTGGCTTTGCTTCCAGACGCACCACAAACAATTTGCAATCATTTTACTCTTTTCACTCTCACTCTCAATAAATGTACATGTAAACTGGATCTTTAATAATTCTGGGCTTAATACAGAGAGAGTGATTAAAGTTAGTTAAACAGTTTGTGTCAGTTGAGTCGAAATTGATAATTTGATTGAGTTATTACTCATGCCTATAGTATTTCGTCTCATCGGATCGAGTGCGAATTGTATAAATTTATTGTTGTTGATGATTTGTTTATAAATCTGATTAGGGCTGTTGATTGCAATAATTGTTTTTGGGAATTCATTAGCTTTTGTTTTTATTGTGTCTGTCTGTCTGTCTGTCGGTCTGTCTGTCGCATTTGATGTTGTCAGCCTTCAATTAGTTTTAATCGACACAAATTGTTTATGTATATATGCACGTGTGTATGTCTGTATGTATATGTATATGCATATATTTATGTATGTAAGTATGTGTACAATGATTATAGCAATTATAAGCAGTTTGAATAGTGCCGCACATCTGACATGCAATTCAGGAACAAAAGTAGTACAATTTGTTTATATCTACAACAGTTAATAGTTTGTCATTTGATTTCAAATCACTTGAAAGGTGACAAAGTGAGCAAGTTTATATTTATATATGTATATATATATATATATATATATATACATATGTATTTATTTATGTGCCTCCATGTATGTAATCCATCAAATTCAGGCTACTACGCAATATATGTATGAATTTGTGTGTGAATGTACATGTGTATACGTGTGTGTGTGCACATGTGTATACGTGTGTGTGTGTACATGTGTATACGTGTGTCTGTGTGTGTGTGTGTGTGTGTGCGTGTGTTTATGCCTGTGTGATTTGCGCATTTCAGTTGACTTGCTTCTTGGATGAGTCATCACCACGCACGGAGAACAATAACAGCATAAATGTTGCCCAATTAAACGATTTAATGTAATTAGCTGAGTATCACTATATAATTGTATCCTATTTCTCTCTTGATCCGAGACTAATGCGACTACCCCAAATAGGCTTAAATAGCTCAGCAACAACAATCAGCTGTGATGATAGGAATGGGAGGGTCGCATGACTTTCCATGAACTGAACAACAGGACTTCAAGCCAATAGGACTTCCAACGCTATCTATCTATACCATTTAATTGTCCCTGCGAGGGCTCTAAGAATAATTAAATGTAGGATCCTTAATGTTAAATCGCCTTACCCTTGGAACCCAAACGATCTAAGGAAATACCGTGTAGTGTTAATGTGTGATACTGTGTTAAGAGTTTTCGATTGCAGCAATCAATCAATTATATACATATATATAAGTATATATGTATGTATATAAAAATATATGTATTTGTATATATGCCTATGCAAATTGACTGATGTGTCACATACTGACATCCCCTCAGCCCCCTTAGCTACTTTAACCTCGGAGACATTCAGAGCACAGGAGATATGGCGCAGCGAGGGCATTTATTTTACGGGTTAAGTTTGAGACGGAACCGTTTTGTGAATGAGTATTAAATGAAACGAGCAACGTAATATACCAAAAGTGATATATTGTCAGATATAAATAACATGTTTATAATAGCAGTGTGAGTCGCTGAAGTAAAATCACGAACAAAAATACGCAAATTGAACGCCAGCAGAATCACGATTTATAAATATAGACATAAACCCAAAAAATGTATATCTACCACAGTACATACATATATAAATCTGTACCAAGGAAGCGATATCGATTACTAAATCGATTACTAAAAATACTTGACCAAGTGAAACTTCGCTAATTAAATTTTTTGCTAAGCTCGAAGCAAACTCGAACTTGAAACATTTTGTCTGATAAAACTTGAGCTCGATAAGCAAAAATGTTCTATGCCAAAAGTCGATTAAAATTAAATGTATACGAATTTGATGAAAACGTTTTGAAAAACAAAGATTTATAGATAAAAACAAATTATAATACTATCTACAAGGCCAATAACAACAAGTATAAATTGAGCATTTTTTTGTGGCATGTGATTATTTGCTAATTTCAACTTTGAGCACCTTGATAATCAACCTTAATTTGTCGTATTGTTATTTGAGTACAACAAATACAATCAGCACTCACGCACATAAATTCGAATTACGATTATTTTTTTATTGAGCAGCAAGGTATATAAAAATTAAAAGGCAAGCAAAAAAAAAAATATAATAATATTAATATTAAAAGATATAAACAGAACAATCCTTTAAATCTTGTACAGGAACGATATCACTTAACTTAAGCTGTAACGAAAACAGAAAACAAACATTAGTTTGAGCTCAAGCTAGGCAGAATCTGTCCAGGCTCACCAATCGGCTGAGTGCTGCTCACAAGATCAGCGGGCACGGACGGAGCAATGGGCGCCAGTGGCACACGCTCTGTGGGCGCATCGTAGGCCACCGATGTCTTCGGTGTGGAGGCATCATCGGTGAGACGATGCTTGAGCTCATCATATTTCTGGGCAACGGAGCTGCCCAGCTCCTTGGCGCCTTCGCCAATCTTGTCGGTATACGGCTTGGCCGCATCGGCAACATCCTCAGCGCCCTGCTTCACCTTGCACCCCAAGGTCTTGAAGAAGCCAGTAATGCCAGTGTCTTCCGTCACACAGTCGGCGGCCTGGGCCCCGTTAGCACGCATCAGCAGCACCAGGCTCAGCAGGGCACAGCAAATGATAATTGACCTCATGTCGATGCTGGATTTTCAACTATTCCCTTCGAGCTCCTCAATGCGACTGAGCAACTTAGCTCAACTCGGCTCTGCTCGACAGCAGCTCAGCAGCTGCTCAGCAGCAGCTCAGTCAGTTCGTCAGACCGGTTTATCAGCGCTGCGACAAACAACTCTGCTCTCTGTCCGCTCCACTCCCCTTCCCCGTCGCATAGTCAGTAATTAATAGATCGGTCAGCTTTAGACAGCACATAGACATATACATATATATATATATATATATTCATAAGCTTTATTTACTTCGCATACACACTAGACTCCAACTTTGATAATACTAATACTAATACACATTCGAGAATTGTGTTGAGAGTTCGTTAACTGATTTCACTTGAAGTGACTTGATCCAGAAAGCCCATCATAGCGAATAAATCACTAAAGAAGTCAAAAGATTCAATCTATTTATTGCATCGCAATTTAAATAATTAATATATGCGCGCGAGGTGTGTTCAATAACAAATCAAAATCTTTGCCATGTTGATTGTAAAATTGTTGATTTCGGTTTTATTAGATAAATAATAATGAAAATGTATAAATAAACAAAGATAATTGAGAAGCTAAGGAACTGCCGAACTGTATCAATCTACCATGTACAGATATATAAATAGTTTACGTTTAACAAATCAAAAATTAAGAATACGGAGCTTTCTAAGATTTGAATTCTGTAAAATCTAATGTGAGATTATTTCCCTTTTTCTCTCTCTTTCTCTCTGGTGAAAGGAGACCTTTTAGAACTTCCACCCAATTAGAGCTTAACTCCGCTTTTTTATAGCTTTGTTGAGGGTCGTATAATTGCCTTTAGGTGTGCACCAGATGTCTGCGATCCCATAAAGTATATATTTATATTCTTGATCAACGTCATTAGACGAGTTGATGTAGTCATGTCCGGTGATTAAAAAGTGGGAAAAAGTCAAATTAAACAATAAATAAAATTAGTTTACAAAACAAACAAGAACATAATAATTTGAACTACGAACAACAATTTAGATGTCAGCAACTTAACTCACAAGAATTTAGAAGGGTATATAATATTCGGTTTGCAGTTCTTTCTTGTCGTTTTTTTCTAATTAAAGAAAACAATCATATTATAGCTTACGGCAGAAATTAGTATTCAAAAAATATGGTCATTTGCGAGACTTTCGCTTATGCTCATTTTGACTGTGATTCGGGGTATTCGAGAATTTACTCGATCGCCGATGTGAAACAACTTTAATGAGCACATTACACAGCAGTATGCTTCTAATGATTCATTATTTTGCTTGAGCAAAGTAAGCACAATATGGCTACGAATAGGCAATCAGGTAAGAATACACATCATGGATATCGGACTGATGTAGAATACACACACATATTTAAGATCGCCTCGATTATCATGATATTTGCCTGTTACACACTTTCAGAGTATAAAAAATAAATAAATAAAAAACAATGTGCAATTGCTTAAGTCGTGTGAGATATGTGTGAGTAATCTGATTATCCATTTGGGAACAGAGAATAATCATTTGAATTCTTTGATTTCGCTTATTTCAATGATGATGGATTCGTTTCAAAGATCATTCTTACTTGTACAATTATACTGACCTACATACAGAATACAATATGCATATATAGGTCCTTATGCAGAAGTAAGTATTTTACATATGTTCTTAAATATTTGTAGTTTAGGATGATATCGTATATTTGAAATTAATTCAAAATGTATGCAGACCATTTATGCTGTGATTACTATTGTACAAATATTGTTTTCATTCGAATGGTTTCCAATTCGACAACAAAAAACACAATAAATCAGCAATTACTTTCGAGCTAGATAAATAAATATATGTATGTGTTTATATTTAATTCGCTGGCCTAATTATTTGATCGGCTCTACATTGATAATCTCATTGTCCAATGGCGATTCTGTTGAAGGTGTCAATTGCTCAGGCTCCTGGCTGATGGCTGCAAGAAGATCGCGTTCGGTGCTGGTGCTGGTACTGGAACTGGGTGGCATTATAGTTGTGGTTGTGGTGACACTCGGTATCCTATTGGCAGCGGCACCGAGAATCGAATCCATTAGATTACCAAAACGATGCACAATGCTCAGGCCAACACGCTTAGCAGTCTCCTCCAGTCGCTTGGCCTCCTTCTCTAGATCTTCGATCCAGGGCTTTGCTTTCTCCAGAGTGCACTGCACATTGTGCAGAAACTGATTCACCTCGCTGGGCTTGGGCGTTGTCGTCGTTGACTGCTCCTCAACTGACTTAACTTGACTTGGCTCAGTCTCATCCGTGCCACACATGATAGGAGCTGCCAGCAGCTGGGCTACCTGTGAGATGATCATCAGCAGCAACAGTGGCAGAGTTGCTCGAGTCATCATCATAACTGCCTGAAATTATTGCCCTTATTGTTCCAATTCCGATCAGTTTATTTGCCTTTGGATTTGGCTTTATGTTTGCCTGAAGACGTGACGTGTGCTGCAGCTGAGACTTGAAACCTGACTGAAACTCGTTTGCAGCTGGCAGCGAAAGGCTTGCCACCAAGTTCAGTTGCGGCTTACCATTGCCGAGAGAGAGAGAGAGAGAGAGAGAAAGAGAGAGAGAGAGAGAGAGCGTGAGCGAGCGCTGAACGGCAAGTTCTTTTTTGAGAAAGTCGTCAAGCGACTGAGCTGCCAGCTCAACTCATTTATAATTTCGGATACTTAAAGAGAATTCCAGCAAATTTTTCTTTTTTTAAGACATTCCAATTCTGTTTAGACTTTACCCAATTGTCGATCATCGAATTCATCGATCAAGCAACTATTATGAATAATTAGTATGTAGACAGCCAGCCGCAAATAAGCAATTAGCTGACCATATAAATTGAGGCATATGCATGTGGAATACGCAATGGAATCTGCATCTGAGAGTGCATTTTATGCGAATGTAACAGATACAACCATAAATATTAATATACGTAAAGTGAGTCAAATGTGTACATACATATATATACCCGATGCTGTGCTCAAATCTTGATTCAAATATGATCCACAATTACAAATGTATGTAGACATGTGTAACAATTTGTTACCTAATACAACACAAGATACAAAAGTAAACAGGAAACGTTGTTCCATAAAGCTCTAATTAGACAATTCCCCAACTAGTGACATAGCTAATAAATACTATATACTTAGCCGTAAAAATACACAAATATCACAGATGATGAATGGAATATCAAATTTGATTTGTAGTTGAATTATAAATATTGATAAATCATCTGAGTGATGGGGCTATGCATTTGTAAATGTTGTTTGCTTTAATCTTAGCGCTTATTTAGAAGTTTTCCCTCTTCAGCACTGCAGTGATGCTTTCGACGCACATTATATTATTTAATAGCCTTCATTACAATGAATATATATTTAAATCATACCCTTTGCAAAGAAAATCATTAAATAAATTAGTTTTCTTAATTTTATGCAATACGCACCCATTTCACTTTTCAGTTCTCAATTCCCACTTTTAAGCCAGAGTTTTCCGATTTTCATTAACGAAACAGTGTTGCCATATTCACAAATTAGAACATTGCATTTTGGACATGAAATTTAAGTTTTATACGTGGTATATATAGTATATATATATATATATATATCAGTTAGCCCAAATTGTCAACTTCGGTTACATTTGTTTGCACAACTTCATTCAATCCTTTTTACAAAATATTTATTGGTAACAGGTTATCGAAAAAAAAATGTATATTTAATATAACTTATAAACTTATAACTTATATAACTGCAAATAGATAAAAAAAAAAAAAATTATAATAATGGAATTCGTTTGAAGCTTGAGTCGAGCTGCATCATCATCACTTCCTCAACCGGCTGCAGTTGCCCAAGGCATCGAGGATGTGGCCGTGTCCGCACTGTTGCTCACCCTTGAGCAGATCTGGATTGATAATCTCGACGTTGGCGAGAAATCCGCGATCCTTGCTCATCTCCTCGGCTGAATCCTTGGCGAGTTTGTCGCGAAAATCATCGAATCTCTCGCGAATATCGCTGCCCAGATCCTTGGCCCTCTCGCCCAGCTTCTTGGCGCCCTCCTTGATATCGCTGCCCAGATCCTTGGCCTTTTCGCCTAGCTTCTTGGCGCCATTCTTGATCTGGCAGCCGACGCTCTTGAAGAAATCACGCACTTCATGCTCCGAACTGCTGCTACTGCCAGTCGCCTCCGATATTTTGTCGCCCATCTCGGTGATCATCGAGGGCAATTTCTCGTCACAGTCGAGCAGATCCGCATGGCTCCAGGAGACGCCCAGCAGCAGCAGGGCCAACAGTAGCATTCCATGTAACTGTCGCATTTTCTATATATATCCAAATATTTATATGTTATATGTAATTTTCAGTTTCTGATTTGTTGTGTTGAGTTCCTTTGATGCCTTATGCTTATGGCTTGCAAACTAAACTCGCACGTTGATTTCGCTTGACTGGCTGCGGGCGAGGAATGCTTAAGCGTTTTATGCACTGCCCGGGCAACAACAATAGCCACAACAATAACAGTAATAATAATAACAATCGTATAACAAGGCAGACCCCGTTATTTATACAAAAAAAAAAAAACATTGTCGCCTTTTGTTTGATTGCTGCTCCCGATGCCGGCTCGCCTTTCCGCTTTAATTCAATTTATGGGAAGACTCAGTCGTTTGCTCGCTTTTCTTGATTCATGAGCACAAATTCAATTTGCTGCTGCTCAACAATAACAATTACAACAACAACAGCAACAACAACAATAACAGCAACAACAATTACAATGAGAAAACGCTTGTCAATTGTGAGTTGATCTTATGCGCTTTGCTCTTTTTTTTTTTTTGCAAATCTCAACATTTGAACTCTGCACATCAAATAATATGCAATGAGTCTTACCTGTACCGGCTCCGATGACTGCTCATGTATTTGTCTCAGTATCTGTGTTTGGCAAGTTTTGCGTTGCTTGATAAGGCCCAGATAATTCCAGCATAATCATTATTAATGGGCACATATATATAATATATATAGAATCTAATGCGCAAATTGCGTCTCAGTTGCTCAATTGAGTAGAGCTTGTATTATTGTAAATATTTATTGTGAATCTCGACGAAAATAGCCATAATAAAAAGCGAAAAAAGAATTACTCACAACTATTATTGTATTTACTACTCACCCAATTTACAATACTCAAACAAAATATATATAAAATATATAACATTGAATATATTTGATTTTATTTTGTCTATAAAACAGCTTTGAATTTTAATCGCTATTTTCAGATCATAAACACACACAAACTAATAAATGCAAAGAGTCATGGATTGACCTTTCATGTCAAGGTATTAGCTTGAAGTAGCGCAATCTGTGGGGTCTATTATAATTCTCAAACAAAAAAAGAGGCAGTCAAATAAGACTTAAAAAAATCAAATAATTATAGCCACAGGAGCCTTGCTATGACACTCCTTTAAGCTAGATTTTTCAGTTGGAAACTACAATTTTGCATTATTTAGAAATAATAATAAAAAAAATTGAATTGCTTCTTAATCGATCCCACTTAATTTAATTAACAAACAATATGTAATATTTACATAACATCTGCGTAACCATACGACCAGATCTAACTGGACGATAATCAGTGTTTCTGCTCAGCTCGAAAAAGGAGAAAAATACAATATATATCAAGAAGTCAGTAAAAAATCTATCAAAATAACTGATCAAACAGTATACCCGTTCTATGCCGCAGATAAGTATCAGCACCATATACATAGATTGATAATGAATTTCAGTTGACTTTTAAGTCATCGGGTTCGATAAGCAGGAAACTAACTAACTCGAGCAGCACCTCATATATACATAGTTACATACATAGATACATATATGCATACATACAAATATGTATGCATACTTTGGCATTTTTATTGAGCATTTATATTGCGTCTAATTAGTAGTAAAAAGCGTAAGCTATAAAATTGAACACTGGGTATTCTGGGTATGCACTATTTGGTGGGATCATTGCCACCGATACTGCCGCCAAGGTTGAAGTTGAGGTAATCAGAGGCATCCTGGTCCTTGTCATCGTCAGCATCAGCATCAGCATCAGCATCATCTCCGCTGTCTTCCTCATCATCTTCGTCAAGCTCCTCATTGTCATTCAGGCCCGCCTCATAATCAGCTTCTGCTGGCCTCGATGTTTTTTGGTCAAATTGCTCCGGCAATTCCGGCAGCAAGGGCACTTCAGTGCTGGTGCTGGTGCTGGTGGTGGCAAGCGTAGTTGTTGTTGTTCTGGATGTGGACGTGCTGCTGGCCCAGTTGACACTTGGTTTAGTGGCAAATCGAGCACCTGAAATCACAATCAAAAAAATGTAACTGGCAAATTATAGTTATCTTCCGATGTAGACCGATCTTTCAAGAGATATGATTGAGTTTAATGTTTCTCAAAAATGAAACACCAAAATTGGCGAATTCGATTTTGGATTTTTGTCGTGTACAACAAGTTAGTCGAGAGAGCTCGACAAGCAAATACCCTGAACCCAACCGAGCAAAGTTAGTGAAACAAATAAAAAAATAAATAAAACGCAGCCAAATAAGAACGCTGTAGTCGAGTGAGCTCAACTTCGATGGAAAAGGCTTACACACTCAAATGTTAGGATGAGTGGGAAACGGATAATTATCGATATTCATTGAACGGGTTGCATAGTTGGCGATAAACTGGAATAAACAGGATTTGCGCTGGGTAAACGAGAACGTATACTCCAAATTGTATGCCTCTATTTCTCAAAAACAAAATGTATTTATTTATGAAGCATAGAAAAACACTATCTTTGCCATTGATTTAGAATATACTCGTACAGTTTCTCGCCAATTGCGTTACACATTTCATACGCTATTCAAGCAACTCGCCGGTCACTTACAATTGGGCAATGTGGGTTCAAAGTCACATTGGATGCGCTGATCCATTTCGAAGTCGGTCAGACGTTTGACCACCTTTGGCTGGGGCGTGGTGCGACGCACGATGTAAACGTGCCGCACCTCGTATTCCTCCAGTTCGGGACGGCCCTTCACGGGGCGGCGGCGTGCGAATCGCTTGTAGTTGATCACATTTTCGGGGGCATCGGATGGATATGGAGCGGCTTGTATCAGCTCGCTGCAACAGCAGAGGAGGAGCAGCGTCACCAGCGACAGACCAAAAGTGTTTCCTAGTTTTGTTTGCATTGCTGCCGTGTGCAGTGTTCCAAAGACTGATTTTATATTTCCGGTTTTGTCTTTCATTTGGCTCGGCTCGGCTCGGCTTGACTTGGCTTGACTTGACTCTGCTCGGCTCAAGCATGCGATGTCGCTGATGAATTCGCCTATCGCAATTCCACTTAAGTCCAATGACGGTTGCCCGATAACCCATCAACCTCAGGCTGCCAATTGATATGGTTCGGCTTCTTGTTAGACGCTGCATACTTTCGGGCGGCGGCTGCTAAAGCTTAGTGATCGCTGCAGCTTTTAACTCGGTTTACAAAATATTTGCTGAATATTCAATAAGTCGACTTGCAAGCACAGATTACAAGGGTTCAACTTGATCATATTTCTTAGGTGATTAAGACTCTGACCGATCATAAAGCATAAAGTGCTCAAGTTTGATTGATCGGTTACAAATTTGCTGTTTGCGAAATGCAAAATAATACAATCATTTGCGTATATGTTGGAAAGACGCACTTTCTTATCTTGGATTACATTATAACACATATAAATTTAGCAAACAATTTTTCGATTAATTTATTTCATTTATGTACTGTTCAAGAATGAACACTATTTTAACAAAGTTGTCTCAGGGTCAGGGACAGTAAAATATGCTTAGCCTTATATATCACCTAATATCACCTAAACTCTGTGTTTATTCTTATATATATATATATATATATATATATTTATAATATGAGATTTTAACAACATGTGCAATTTCATGTGCAATTTATTTTTGTTTTTTTATGCTTTGTGGTAGGTGTGCGTCCATAGGTGTGTACATATATGAATACATTTTAATGGACCACTTGTGGATACATAGTACATTGCATTGACCAGAGTGTCAGCCACAGGCATATCTACTGTACATATGTAAATACCAATGCAGAATATGAATAAATATACCGTCATTAAGCAATTGCCAGGGTATACAGGGTATTGTCAAGGCATATACAAATCTAAGCAAATTGGACAAATGTTTGCCAAGAGCAAAAACAATAAACAGCATTGAAAAGTTTTGCTCAATTTCTGTGTGTGTGTGTGTGTGGTGTGGGAGGAGGGATGGGTAGGGGGTGGGTGGGAGTTGGTCGTATAAAATAAACAAAAACAAAAATAATCGGAAAAGCTGTTGCCAGAAAACAGCTGCCCGAGTAGGTTTTGTTGCTGTCGTTGTTGTTGCCATTGTGAGAGCGTGAAATATGCAAAAGTCGCTGCGGCATCAAATTGAATTCCCCCGCACATCTTGGCACACACACACACACACACACACACACACACACAATTTTGCGGACAAGGTGGACATGACAGCATTCAGAATGCTCCGGCCGATGTCTTCTGGCCCGAATGTAAAAGCCAACGGCTGAAACAGTTGGCGACGGCGCTCGTTGGCGGGCAGACGCGCATAAAGCAAGCGGAGCAGCTGATCGAGCACAGAAACGAAAGGGATAGCGCAACAAGAGAGCGTGCGCGCAAGAGAGAGAGAGAGAGAGACAGACAGATAGCGAGTGATAGAGAGAGAGAGAGAGAGAGAGAGGGGGAGCGAGGGGGAGCGAGGGGGAGCGAACGAGAGCGCAATGCTAAAAATATTAGTGCACAAATTTGATTTAAATAATTTGAAGGCACATGAAATTTGTGTGTTGTCATTGTTAATATTGTAAAAGAAGAACAAAAATTTAGCGTGCTCGTTGCTGTTGCTGTTGTTGTTGTTGTTGTTGTTGTTTTTGTTGAAAGTGGCACAGTGGAGCACTCAAATGTCAAGGGAAAAGAACAGCAAGCGGTAGGCGACAGGCAGCGGAAGAGTCAAACTAAAAATAAAAACGCCAAGACTGAGAAAGCACTAAAAAGAAAGCACGCCCAAGAAAGCGGGCGTGGGCAGCAAACAAAACAGCAAAGCATATAAACTATATGTGAATGTATGTGTGTATGTATATATATACTGCCAGCATAGTTGAGAGATAAACAATAAATAAGTTGGCAATTGGCCAGGACGGGGAGACACGGGAATGCAGCTAACAGTGGACTAGACCACAAATCGCAACAACAGACAGCAAACAGGTGGGAAGAGGCATCGACAACAACCGCATTGGGATTATTAAACGCTGCTGTGACTCAGAGCCCAGAGCAATGTCAAAGCAGCAGAGGCATAAGCATCATCAGCATCAACAAGCAACCACATCCCACTACGAACAGGAACAGGAACAGGAACAGGAAGAGGAACAGCAAGCGGAACAGGAATACGATCCACTTGCCAATCTGTTGAGTTTGCAATTGAAAAAACCGACACACTGGAACTGGGAGCTGAGCACATCGCGCAGTTGCAGTAACATTGCCTTGCCACGGATACTGCTATACGATCATACGGGTGCACTGCTCCTGGATGCGGATGGCCACAAGGAGCAGACATATCGAGCGCCCAGCTCTATTAAAGGAGATCGCAGGCGGAAACGAGCAGCGACCGCTAATCTCAGCCAGAGTCTGCAGCAGGCGCGACTGCCCAGCGAGTTTAATGGCCTGCGCATCGCTGAGGCGACGCCAACACCCACATCCACACCCACAACCACACCCAAGCCCAGAAGACAGCAACAGCTCGCTGGCAGCTGTATTGACTTTAGCACCCATGAACTGCCCGACTGGCAGCCACACGGAACATCCGCAGGCAGTTCGCGTCGTTCCAGCTCGTTGCGTGGCGTACGCTTCGAGGATCAAGCGCTGCAGTCGCAGCTGGGTGAGCAATTGGAGCAGCGTGGACAGGCGACGGCATATCCCACACCGCCATCCACCTCGACGCTGACAACAACGGCGAATTCCTCATCGTCGGGACCGCGTGAGAAGCGTCGCTATCGACGCTCCCAGAGTTCCGGACAGCGTTCGATATTAGAGCGTTTCAGCATGTCGCGGGGACGGCACTCCTCGCCCGAGTATGTGATCCAGGAGCACAGAGTGGAGCATGGCCCACGCTATTTTCTGCGCAGCAGCAAAGCCGGCACACTTGTCATCCAGGATGACAGCTTTAGTCGCGTGCGGCAGCGCCGCCGTCGGCAGCGGCACCATTCCTCCAGCGAGAACAACATGCACCAGCCGCAACAGGACCAGGCCAGCAATGGCGTCGCGCAGGTCGCGGCGCGCAGACGTCCACAACAACGGGCGGCGACACTACTGGCGGAGACTACATCGGATGAAGAGGCATACACACACAGACAGCCACCTCCAACAAGGCAGTCACGCTGCCGTCGCACTGATCGCAGCTGCCTCAAGGATGTGCTATCACAAGGTGAGTCCACAATTCTAACTATACCTTACCATTGCTGGCAAAAAGCTTGGCCGGCACTGCCTCAAAGCCTTAACACTTTCTCACTCGCCTACTCTCTTCCTCAGAGCTTATCACGATCGATCCGGACAATTGTGTTCATCGAACGGCGCCTGGTGCCACGTGACGATGACGTCATTGGGCCAAGTAGACAGTAAATCGTGTTGGCTTCAATTAAATATTATATATGTAAAAGCGATGCCAAAAATTAAATGAAATGGAATATAAACAAAATGATAAATGAGTGAAGAACATAAATGGGATTCTTTTGGCTTTAGTATATTAGAGCGAACTAATTTCAACATATTTTTATACCCTGAACCCGCTAAAAATTGGTATAAAGGGTATACAACTTTTGACCAACTGTATGTAACATGCAGAAGGAAGCATCTCCGAACCCATAAAGTACATATATATAATCTTGATCAGGATCAACAGCCGACTCGATATAGACATGTCCTTCTGTCCGTCCGCCTGCCTGAACTCGTGGATCTCAGAGACTATAAGAGCTAGAGACACAAATTTGGAATATAGGTTCTCGTATACCCTGCACAGATCAAGTTTGCTTTATTTTTTCGATAGCTGCCTCCGATTCTCGAATATCGATCGATAGCAATGCCGCAAGCATATTCTGTATGCGTATAAATAAGCCTGTGCCTGTGCTTCCTATAAGTAAAGAGTGCTCCTGCAGGTGTAAACATTTTTAAAGAGAAATTTTCCAATAAGACTAGTTTAACAGATGAGTTCAGGGTATATCGTAGTCGAGCTCACTCGACTACATCATTCTCATTTGCTTATTGGAATTGAAGTCTAAAGGACAAAAAATGGTATTTAAATAACAATGGTGGACGAGATTGTTAATCGATGTGTATTCATGCAATAAAATAGTTACAGTCAATAACGCCAAAAAGAAAACCAGTTCCTAGTGTCTATAAATGTAAATAAGATTGCAAATTAATTGATTTACAAAAGGGTACATAACTAAAGTATTTATATAAGTTTAAAATTAAATCGTTTGCTGTAGGTTTGTTTGTAAATGCGTGAATGCATTTATACCTTACTTCATATGTCAATTATGTATATATATAAGTAGCTGAATGCATGAATAAACGAAAAACTCAGATAATATCAATACATGTTATTATAATTGACATAGGATACAAAAGACTAGTGGTACAAGAAGATGTGTCTGGTCGACAGTTTTGGCTGCAGAATCCCGTAAAAAATGTAATGTGCTGTTAATGGTATGATGGACTGATATACTGACTAATTGATATTACACAGAATGTATTCTTGATTATAAAGAAATTGAATAGCTTATTGCAATTCAATGTACTCCAGTTGCCCTCTTAGATTGTAGAGGCTTTTGTTGGATAAAGGTTATATATATTGAACTTTTTTCTAGACAACAGAAGACTGTTGATTATATTATAATTATATTATTTGTAAATTTATAACTTATTTCTAGCAACCAGCAAAAGTTTTAATTATTTTGGGAAAATTTCTAAAATTGAACTTAATTCTAGTTTTTTTTCTAGTTTGTTTCATTTGTAATTTATGGTTTGGTTCGTATAGTTATTGAGGTAATCGCCAATTTTCTAAGTGTAGCTAGTTTCTCACATACGTAAATTACAGTTTGCTCCGTATTCAAGCACATTAATCTGCCAATTTTTAATGTAATCGCCCCAAAGTATGCAATGCGATCGATCTCATTAATTGCGCAGTTTTCAAACTGATGGCGGATTCCTCAAAACAACAGTCTTAACTGTAATCGGACTGATAAGAAAGACCCAACGAACTCTCCAAAGGGCAGGGGAACAAACTGATAGATTGAGCGTGCCAACAGTAGCAGCAGCATCGCCATCAAAATCTGTTATTTAGAATGCGTGCTCAACGCTGGTCAGACAGTGACGTGTTAACTTGAAGCGAGAAAGATGCTGAGACCGAGGCTGCTGGGACTGGGACTGGGACTGTTGTTGGCAGTGTTTCCAATAATTCTAATGTTGTCCCAGCTACAATGCAGCGACGCACGCGTGATTTACTTCAATCAGCTAAACACCAGCATTGAGGAAAGCAACAAGAACAGCACAAAGGATGCTATCGGTAAAGGTATGCTGCTCGAGGTTCGAGGCCCTAGTTGCAGGCATGGCTTCATGCGTGATCATCACAATCGCTGTCGCCGGGTGAGTGTCCGTTTGTGTGTGTGACGAAAGTGAATGTTCAAAATTATAATGAATTAATTTGGTGTTTTTTTTTTTTTTTGTTTTTTTGCAGATTGTGTAGGGGGTACTCAACCTTTGGACTTAGGCGCTCGTCAACTTATCGCCATATCCAGAACTTGCTAGCTTTTGGGCAATTAAATATTTATAAATACTACGTCACAAGACGCACCTATGTAATTAGGTACTTATGTGCTTAGCTAGAGTCAAGCGATGTTTGTTATGATGAAATTATGGGAATTTTTGCGAACAGTAAATGGCAACGGCAGATGCAGATACTGAGACAGATACCGATACCTATATACAGATACAAAATGTGAAATATCAGCTAGATACAAGATAGAGACGCCAACCATCAGACGCTGACTCAACCACATATTTTCCCATCCACTCATTTCGCTGCCGTTGCCGTTCACGGTGACTTGGTCACATTTTTTTTTTGGGGGAGGATTATAGAAAGACATGGGGCCACACCAGCCGGTCTGTGACGTAGCTGGGGCTTTCTGGAAATGCCATGAGACAATCACACCAGCTGATTACTTTATTGAGCAGTTGGCTTGCGCCTATCGACTCATATTGTTGTGGGAAACAGACACTTTTTATACATGTTTGCAGTGATTGTTTTGTGCCTAACAAAAGTAATCCCCCTTCTTATCGGACTGCCGGATAGTAAAAGCTTTGCTTAGATTTGATCAAAAACGTACCCCACTGTTTATTTATAAACTCATACTAATTTATTCACAAATGCTTCATCAGACGTTATTCGCTATCAAAAGTCTAGTAAAATATAAGATAATATAAGAAAAATAAACAAATATATGAAAAATGATTAACCCATTAGTGAGATAATATTAGTATAAAATTCAAATATTCCATATAATTAATTCTAAAAATTAACATTTATTTTCTGTTATCTAAAAGTATGAATATGAAAATGACATTTTTCTTTTAAAATATATTAAGAATAAAAAAAACACGTTTTTTTGTGTTCAATGTTGAATTAACTGCTTTATCCCTTAAGAAATCCATTAGAAACATTTAGTGTCCAAATTACTGTTGTTAGTATCTCGAAATTGAAGGGGTATCAATGAAAGATAAGCACTTAAAAATATGAATACATATGGTTCGCTCAAGCAAAATTGAAAAATTATGATAATAATAAAATTATGCCATAGATAAGTTTTAAATTAATAAACAGTAGATTACTGTGACATCTAAAAATTTCCTGCCTATATACAAATACTCAAACTGAGACATAACTACGAATGAAACTAGTTGAAAATTAATAATTAAGTTGACAATTTGACACATAGATTGATTCATTGATTTGCAGTGGGTTAAGCATAAATCGTAATTATCATAATCAACTAAATATCAGAGAGCACTCACCATGCGGTAATGCAAACGAAACCAAAGCAAGACACTCAATTACCCAGATTGCTGGTGTGACATAGAGGAGCGAGGCCTAGATAAGATTCGCGTATACAGGGTGTTTGCCATCGGCCTACACGGGGTAGATGCGAAAGCTATACTCCGAAAAGAACTCAATCTGCATCATAGAATATCATCAACAATTTGACAACAAAGGTATTCAGAAATTATATTTCGAAAATGGGAGATCGTGTCTTTTAAAAAACAAGTACATTTCTTATCTTAATTCCAAAGTACATTTTTCTAAAATTAAAAAAAAGTTGAGTTTCTAGGATGTTTTTTATATGTGTAGATAGAACTTCAAACATAAGCTTTACTGTTGTTAATATTATTATTAGAATTTTAAGATTTTAAGATATGATATAAACATTTAAGATAGTTTATTAAATTCGTATAACTTAGTTAAAAACAATTTTCAACTTTACGGAGGTTCAAAACTTATACCCTTCGTTCGCTAGTTGAGTGACTAAATAGTGAGCTACTCTACCTTTAAGGCACACAACTGCTAAATTCAAACATAATAATCGACAGAGCAAACTTCATTACGATCTTCAGATTTTTTTGTAACTATTTGAAATTGGTTAGGCAGCCTGTATAGTTTATCAATGCGAAGACGCCGCCAATGCTTGATAGGCTGGCAGAGGCCGCTTTTTACTTTGAAACTGGTTGCTCAAACCGTATATAATCAGTTAAGTGAAGGCATTTGCGCATATAAGTTAGCTGGCAGTAGGACAAGCTAAAGACTTCAACTTAACGCTCGATTACACAATTTCACATTATCTCGAAACTGCACACGAGTACATCGATATAGACCAAAACACACACACACCGGCGAATATATATATTTATATAGTGAGAGATGATGATGCTGCATCGCATCCGACAATTACTTTTATATGGACTGTGTCTGCTCGGCCTGGTTGTCATCTGTGCTCCAGCGTCAAGTGAATCGCGACGGGTGATCTTCTTGGCGCCACCCGGCATTTCTCGAGGTCAGATATTGGCCACACATGGCTTGGAGAAGCCCTGCCAGCAGTGTCACATGCGGGATCATCGTGGTAACTGCCGTCGCATTATATCCTACAGCACAGGTATGTCCTCACATATATATATTCTGTTTACAATTGTGCTTCACTAACGATTCACTTTTCGATTTTGTAGATGGCGTGCAATGCTAACATAAACTCCGGTCGTAGATTTCCCATGGCCATCATCAACTGAATCTCGAACTCTCTCAGAAAAGCTCAAAAAAAAAAAGAAAACCAAATCGCGTCATTATTCGTATTTATTAAATTTCAGTGCACTATTTATTACATTAATTTCACACATTTTTTTTTTTGTCTTCTGTTAATAAATTATGATGGAATTTTACAAGTATTGCATAAATATCTCGTGCATTGCGTGTGTTAATTAGTTGAAGTTTATTACGGATAAGCAGCAGGGGCTGGAAATAAATTCTTAATCCGTATGCAGAATTTCTGCTTCTGATCTTTATATGTTTGCTTAAAGCTGAAACCATTTAGTCTAGTGTAATTCAATATTAATAATTATATTCAAGTCACGTGTTATGCCCAAAGTTCAAATATCGTCAACATTAAAATCAAAAATTGTAAACAAACAAAATCATTTTCTATCAAAATAACGAAAAGGAAATGGACTCCTTGTTCTCATATTATAGTCTCAATAACGGATAAAACATATTATTAAACATAAATATATAATTAGCGCGTTAGCTGAATACATTTTGAAAGTCAATGAAACAATACTATTATTTTGAGCAGCCAAATCTTACGAAATTCTTCTAAATTTGTTTAAGCTTGCAATGAAAATTTATTTTTAAAGGCTATATTTACTGCAAAATATCAATTCAAGCAAGCGATAAAGAATTCATAAATTGTTACTTCACAGTGAAAGTCTGTGAAAGTTTTGTATGTGGCTGACATTCATTCATTTTATTTGTATAACTTGTGTGTTTCTAAAATTTATTCTTTATTTTGATAATAGAAAATTGCAGTTCACCTGCTTACATTTCAATTTTAATGTGCAGCTCGAAATATTACTATGTTTTTATTCGTTTTCAACAGAATTGATTTATGTGTTTTCTGTTTCACGTCTTGCTGCGAGCTCACTATGATACATCCATGTAGTTTTGTACCTCGATTCAATAACTTAAACCTTAAGATAAAGTTTGGCTTGGATGTATGTAGTGCCCACAATAAGACAGATATATTCCAAGTTGTGTCCAGATTGCTTTAAAACTAAGCGATTGATGGACTTTATGTCATTGTACTGGTTTCTCAGCTATTCTAATGAAAATCCACTTATTGAATATAAACTCAAACCGATGTTTTCGAGCAAGGTTCTATTCTGACTATTATTTTATTATTATTTCGTTTATCCGTCAATTGTGTAGCATAGTAGATTTTTTTTGCAAATCAAGGATCCAAGTACAAGTTGATTAAAACCAAATCTGCTAAGATCAGATCATCTAGACTGCAACAATGATTTTTTGCTCTTGATTTCTATGCAGGTCGTGCATCTCTGTTAAATAATAATTATATACTGGAAGGTACTATAGGCACAGTTATAATAAATTTACAATGATAGGGCAAAATACACACGTAAAGGCTAGATAGCAACAGCTGATACAGTTCTTAGTCAACATTCATGTTTAGAAACGTTCCTAGAACTGATTATTTTTACCCAGTGTGCAGATCGTGCAACGTCATATGTTGTTTCCCCGACGAAGACAACGCAATCTCATGTTTAACAAATTATATTTTGTTCTTACGCTATACCCTACCCAAATAGGGTATTATGAATTTGTAGACAGCTTATGAAAGAGATAGAATGAATCCTTTCTGATTAGCATTGATCGCCATCAATTGCCGAGACGATTTTGCCATGTATATGTCTATATATTTGGCCGGCTGTCGAAATAACTACAGACTTTAAATATAGAATTTAAGAGAATACTAGGGTATACAATGCGAAGTTGAAGTATATTTTCCTTTAACTCATCCAGTCTCTCGAATATCGATAAAAATCGATTACCGATGGTAATCAATGGCACATTTTTCAGGAAATTACTTTCTAAATACATTTGTATAATAAGTGTAAGTATTTTCCAACGAGTTGAATTAAGTGACTAGAGACATCTTACTTGTTTTACTCAGTATTTTCGATTCAAGATTGTTTTAAATTAATTTATTTTCTTTTGTTGCTTTTATATTATATATATCTGAAATTTGCTCAGTCGCTATTCATTCTCGGTTATGTGAAATTAATAATCGACAGAAAACGTCTTATGCGATTTGGTTCACCCTAATTTGCAAAGCCTCTAACAAACTTTTAACTATTTAAGGTTTCGGGGGGGTCAACTTTTTGGGTTTCTCCTCAACAATTCATCTAATTGCCGCCGACTGGGCTTCGCAGTATAATTTCAGGCGCTCTGTCAAAATGTGAAAAATATACTGGAGTAACGCTGGCGGAAGCAGCGTCATTGATAAGACACCACAAACTGATCCACTGTGATTATGATGGTTATGGGGTAATGACAATGACGACAGCCACAACTGACACGCAGAACACGCATTGGCGCGGAATTCGTTGAGTGAGTGAATTCCCGAACGCTTTCGTCACACACCAGATTCTGGCTCGTGCGCTCATGGCCATAGCCCGTAAATCATTTTATGGGAATCCAATAAATGCCTTCTGCCAGTCGCCAGTCGATCGAACGAACGGAGACTATAAGCGCTTACCATACTTATCTTATCTGCAGCGGAATACCCTTATCTTATCGGTCAGCAGCGTATTAAATATCGACACCAGTTGAGACGACTACGGCAACAAAATAGCTGATCGCGCCCAGTCGTAAAAGACAAGTTCTGCGAAGCAAGCCGCGAACGCAACTCCACGCAAAAAATAAATTTAAAAAAAAAACAACGATACTACACAAGAAATAACAATCTCCTGCTCTTCGAAATACATTCAACATCACCGATATGCAACTGCAACGACTTCTACTGGCCATCGGATGGATATTGGCGCTGCTGCTGGCACAGGGCAGCCCAGGGGCGGAGGCGCGTCGCCTAATCTTCTACAGTCCAAACAGCAAGACGCTCACTGGCCAGCTGCTCGTCTCCAGTCGCATGAAGCGACCCTGTCCGGCTGGCAAAATGCGGGATCATCGCGATCGCTGCCGGCGTGCTGTCATCTTTGTGCGGAACCAGTAAACATAACCCTCCCGAATCCCTGCGCAACAATTTCTTTTACTAATTTTAAATTGTTTTTTTTTTTCTCGCTAATTTATTGCCATTTTGGTTGTAGTCATGTAGACATCTTGTTACTAATATGTGTAATTTATTGTAATTTCTAAGCAGTAGTAATAAGCGTCCCAGAAGCTAAGTACATATTTAAACGTATATGTAAACTCGATTGTACATATGCATGTACACAAATAAATCAAATTATCCACGTTAAGTCATAATATACATACATACATACATATGTGTTGAAAGTTTTGTGTGGGGAGTGGTAAATAGTAAATCTATATATAGTTTTATGATCAACCTAGTAAACACTCAAATGGAAATAAGCGTCTTTTGCATTAATAATTGTCGATAAGAATTGTTGTATGTAAAGAGGTATGTATGTATGTGTGAACAAGTGAGAAAATTGCACGGGGAATTGCTCGATTGTGAAAAAACCTTGTTTTATTCATCATGATAGAGCAAGTTTCAATATGGATCTCAAATATATTATAAAACTAGCGAGGGAAACAGCTATCATGATCTTTAAAACACGTGTTATGTGTTGTTGATTATATCATAATAAAAATAAATAAATAATATTGTTACTTTGCAAGAGACATAGTTGGATGTCTTTTTTTTAAATATATGTTCTTAAGCCCCCTTGACAGATGAGTTTACTAAAGATGTTTTAAGAAAAGAGCGAGTGGCGACGTTTTTTTACTAAATCTACCCGCGATAATACAGATACATTGAAATAAAGTCTCATCAAGATTAAAATTATGCTCACTTGAAAACTTTATTTCTAAGGAAAAAAAAAAAATACAAGTCAAGAACTGATCTATGATTAAATAAAAGCATCAGCAAAAACTTAACTTACAATAGTATTAAATTAATTGTAATAAAAAAAGCAAAAAAATAAAAGGGCTAACACATTCTTAATTTCTCGCTGTGTGGGAAATCACCTCGGCCAGCCTTATGACATAACTTGTTTTACAATATATACGTATAAAATAATAGATATTTAGTCAAGTTTCGATTGTGCCACCGATTGCGGAGCTCCCTAACATGTCAACTTAATTGCCAGCCGCCAGTCTGCGGTAGTCATGACGTGAACAATTGCAGATGGTGACGTCAGTTCGATGCGTGTTTACTGATTGTCTTCTCGATCCAGTCCACGTAGTTGCTGACTCTTGTGTAAACCCCTGGAAAATCCGATTGGCCACATAACAGTCTGCCAAACGAAACAATGCCGACTAGATAAACATAACGATCCCGCTGTGGGGTAGAAGCCTCAATGGTTACCGGACTGCCCGAGTCACCCAAGCACGAGTCGACATTGAGGCCGCCACTGGCGCAAAATTGGCCATTGTTCAGCACATATCCTTGGGCGCTATACTGCTCAGCGCACGACTGCTGCGGCGTCACATATAACGTGGCCTTGCGTTTCACGTCGCTTGGTTTCAGCATTTCTGTTATGCCCCAGCCGGATACGTCAACGGCACTGCCCTCCAGCTGATCGGTGCTCTCGCCACTTGCTGGCGGCAGGCACACTGGCTCCAGATATTTCTGAATGTGCCAATTAACAGGCTCAGAGAGACGCAGCAGCGCAATATCGTGAGTTAGGTTGCCCAAATCGAACTCTTCATGAGTAACCTGAAGATCGATTGTTGCCTGAATGTATGGCGGCGCGCATTCCTGCTTGCCGTTCCTGTATGTGACGCAGTCTGGATTGCTGGTCGTATTCCATTCGCCCAACCGGGCGCCAGTGAGTACCCGAGCGCCTTTCAAGAAGTGCTTGTGAACGCAATGGGCGGCCGTAAGGAGCCAACGTTGCGCTATGAAGGCGGCACCACAGTCGTACAACTTGTTACCATTGGAAGTTTTCGTATATTCGAGCAGTGTTGTCCACGGGAATTCGAACAGATCCGTTTGATTGCCGCCCCACACCTTCGAGTGGAACGAAGTGCCGCAATGTGGATGCTTCGGCAGCTCATCGACCGTGCCAATGCGCGCTGACAGCTGACTTATCGCATAAGGTGTAGTCGGACAACATATCTGCAATGAAATAATTCCACAACACACTTAGTTCAAGACTCCAGACTCCACCAATTTTATCATCGATACACAAAGAATAGAATAGAATTGCTCAGCTTGTGAACATTTCTCAACTGCAAAAAATAATACTCTTCAGCAAATTTGTACGTAAACATTTTCTAAATGCAAGAATGAGTCGCATATATAATTGGGGAAAATAGTCTATATATGTGTATCTATATTTATTTTTTTTCCCTTCTAATATAATATAACACAACAACGATCACTTACAATATAAATATATATGGCTTGTGTGACGTGTTCTTTGAAGATGATAATTACTCCCTTTCTCAAATATCGCATGATCTGTAGTCAGGTCATTTACAGTAATTGACATATATTTACTTTTTTTTTCGCAAATCATTTCTTAACGTACTTTTTAAGTTGGTCCTTTATTTATTCTAAAATCACTCGATTTGTATATAGTTGGTTTTGCCTAAGCTATGCTTAGTTAAAGAGCCTGCTATTGGCATAAATCTCATTTAGGACACAACATTCATATGTGAGTATTTGACATTCAGTTTCCATTAATTGTGGAATAAACTTACCAAGTTGGGTCTCATGCGTGAATAGCACTGGTTTTCGCCTGCCCCATCCAACAGATTTATATTATAGAAGTCGCAGCTCTTGCGTTCGGTGCATTTTCCCTCTCCAAATTGGCGCGTTAAGCAGTTGCCAAAGTGATAAGAAGTGGCGAACTGAACGGCCAGTAGCAACGTCAGCGATATTAAAAACAACAACAACGCATTGAACATTATCGATGTGAAAGCGCCTTTTCTATATTACAACTTTAATGGCAGCGTGTGCTTCAATTGCGGATAGACAAGCAACTGACTATTCTCAACGCTGCTGGGTACTTGAATCAAACTCAAACTCAAACTCAAACTGAGACTCTGAATTAAGCTACTCGTACTCGTTCTCGCACTCGTACTCATACTTGTACTCGTACTCAGATGCGGTTACTATCTATAGTACTCACTTACTATCGAGCACTATCAATCCCAACTGTAGTGCGACTGTAATGACCTTCAAGTGGCTGACTGTGACTTTTTCAGCTCGCTCTCGCATTGATTAGCAGTTGTATTAGCTCAGTTTGCCTAGGAAAATTCCGATAAATACTGCAGTTGCTGTCTAGTTTCTCCACAAGCAACTGTTCCTGGTGTAAACAGAATGCCGCATAGTAATAATTAATTACTTGTATATATCTTATATAAATACTACTACTACATGCTTACATATTATCGTACATACTATCATATAATATATAGTATAATATTTATTATATCTTGAGTGTAGTAAAACACGAGTTCTTATGTAATCACCGCCTCCAATGAGCGATCGTCGTTGATTATACCCCCAACTCATCCTCATCGAGTAAGCAATTATTTTCGCATGCCAAAAAAAGTAATCTTGCCGATATAAGAGTGATTTGGTAAGCTGAAGTTGTCAAATAATTTCAGAGCGGTGTCTTTCATTCAACTCAATTATCAACAAATATGTGGCAAGCTATGGAAGCAATACTCCTAGACCAGTCTGCACTGAACAGATATTTGTATATAATACAGGAAGAAGATTATTAGTAAATGCAACAATCTACACGATTATCTGTATATTCATACATTTGAAACGTTATCATTGGGATCTCTCTTACCTGTTCCGGATGCTAATTGAGGTGGGAGTAAAACTGGTTTTTCCTTAACGCCACTTCAAATATACAATTAATTCACAAGAGGTACTCAATTTTTGCCACTTTAAGCGTGGCGCCCATCAAGTATTACTTGTTTTATTAACATGTCTACACTCAGGAAAAAAAAATATTTTTTTTTATTTAAAGGCTATATACAAATTTAGTTTTGACATATTTTGATGAAGTTCGATGCAGTCAATAATGAATTTAAGTGAATTCAACTTTATTAACATATTCAAAAGTTGGCCGATTAATATTGTAGATGATTTATCTGCCCAACATTTAAATTGTTTACTGTAAACGGTTGAAGTTCATTTCACTTAATAAATCGATTAACTCATCTTATTTTATTTTGCTGACTCGGATAAATCTCATTTCACTTCACTTCAGTTTCTTCCATTCTCAAAGCGTTTGATTTATTGAAACTTACAGAATTGGTAGCAGCTTCCTTTCAGCTGCCAGTTCATATTTCCTTTTTTTAGTATGGCGTTTTCATCGTCTTTGTAAATTGCACAAACTATTAAAAATACAAGTTTTAGTTTAGCTTTCAAGAAATATTCATTAACCGCAAGTGTTCGGCGAGCGGCGGGCTCAAAAAATAAATAATAAAAAAATAGAGGCGACAGGCAGCCAAGAATTTCATAAAGTCAGGCAAAGAACACTCACACAGACACACAATAACAACAAACTGGATGATACGGGGCGAGTGGTTAAGATGTGGGTTGCAGTGTGCACTGTGCAGTGTGCAGTGTGCTGCTTTCTCAGTTTTGGCCCTGGTCGTTCAACAGGCCCCAAGCTAAATCTACTAAAATGTCACAGAAAAACCGCACGCAACACAAAAGTTTCAACGTTTCCAGCTGCTTTACTTTCTGCTTTCTATTTGGGCTGCAAGCTGCGCTCGATTTCAGTTTTTGTGTGCTGGCTACACTCAAAAAAATTATATGACCCTTAGTAAGTTGGACATGAATCAATATATTAAAAATATCAGTTTAATTTTTATAAATATACACCAATTTTATGGAACTATATGAGAATGATACTATTCATTTTTAAAATGGACTACAACATTGAACGTAATAGAAGAGGACTTTGCTTAAACCTTAAGTACTACAGACTTTAGGAATTGTATGTTCAATTTTTTCAATAATATTTTGAAATAGCCACTTGGGTGCCTGTCTGCGGCGTCTTGTTTCTGAGTGTATATGATGAAAGAAGAACGTGGATGTAGCGGCTAGCGCCAAGCTCCTTTGTATAAATGCAAAATATAAATATATAATATATACATATATATATATATATTTATATATAGATGTACATATCATATATATTTTATTCAGGGCTCAAACTGTGCGAGCAATGAAAATCTGATGCGAAGTGAAAGCAACTGTCTGCTTGAACCGTCAGCAGCGGAAAGGGTGCAGATGTGCACTGCAGAAGACAGAGAGATATAGAGATAAAGACAGAGAGGGTGAGCATGGATTGGTGAGGGAGAAACTGAGAACTGATCATTGGGCGTGTGCTGGCGAGATGTCCGCATACAGGATACGAGCCTTAAAATGCTGCGGCTGCATTCGTACAACAACAACAACAACAACTTGCTACAACAAACCACAATAATAAAAGCAACAATACGCAGTACACAATGAGATACTACTCAAACGGCAAGAAAGCAAGCATTCAATGCTCTGAAATACATTTATAAATATACCAAAAGAAATGAATAAAATTGTGCCAGCTAGATTCAATTGCAAATGACTCAAGCTAGACTTAATTAAGCAATAACAAAAAATCATTAGTGAGCAATGTGGATGGGTTTTCTGGGCACCTGTACTTCTTACTTACTTCGACTTATAGAAAAGTTATACTAAATGGATACGTTTTTATATATTGGGAATTAATTTTTCTATTGAATTATTATTTTCTTTTTGCTTAGTTAATTATTCAGATCATTTGGTATAAATTTCAGCTCCCTGAGCAAAATGTAATTTAACATTTTCCTTTATAGTTTCGTATCGGAATATCGGAATTGCAAAATTCTGCAACAGAGTTTCAAAAATAACAGCTTTGCTTTGTGTTTGTCAACAAGTTATTTCAGCGCACAACTTCCGGTAATGTAGCAGGGAAAAAGCTTGAACCGACTCTTCGATAGAAATATACAAATTTGGTTATTCGGGGCCAGGGACTAAGCTTGAAATTCTGTTCTGTGTGCTGCAAAGATGATGACCATCCTGGGTGTCCCTTTTGGTAACAGGATATAACAACAGGCGGCAGCAATTGCTGGCGCACAAGTTGAAACGGAAGTTTTTGTGCGCCGCCAGCCGCCAGCCGACGGACACAACGACGTCGACGTCGACGTAGACGTCGTTGACTTTCGCATTGCTTTCCTGTTGCCTGTTTCGTTTTTTATTTTACAGCGCAAAACTTTGTCCACAGTTCGACTTTCATGTGGCTCAAAAGCGGGCGTCTCTCTGCTGCGGGCCAAGGTGATGGGTGCGAGCGAGGGGAGCTGGAGAGCAGCCATTGTGTGTGGCTTCATTGACTTCTTTGGGAGGGGCCGGGGGAACGGTGAGACACCATCGCAGAAATTGAAGCAGCAGCAGCAGCAACAGCAACAGCAACAGCAACAATAGCAGCACTTGGACTCGTACCGGCCAGAAGTATCTGTTGCAATGTCACCAACTTACAGTAATAGAGGCAAACTGTTGGCAGGGGGAAACGACGCTGGCAACGATAATGAATAATGTTGCTGGCGATAATGTTGGCGCCTGTTTCGGCTTCGGGACACTGTCAGTAGCATGGGAGCCCGACCCTTCCACGATGCACTTGGGAAAACAACTTGCCAGAAATTGAATTTCCACGAACTAAAATTATATTTTTATGTGTTTTTGTATAAATCGAATCTCTGAAAAGCAGAAAAACAATTTCAAATGAATAAAATATACCACATATAGAAAGCTAATTAATTATTGATTCTACAAATATTTTTCGGAGTGTGCCCTCAAGCCTAATACAAGTCAGTGGCAGCTGATAAAATGCCGATGGCCGTTGTTGAATTTCGTGCACAATATTCAGTCTGGCATCGGACTTGGACTTTGCTCCCTTAGCATTGATTCATAGTTATGAATAACTATTCAGAAATGCCGGCCATTCCTTCGCATAGCTGCAAGTCCACTCCAGTCCAAGTAGCAGCGGCAAAAGTTTACTGTTTTTAATTGAAAATTCAAGCAGTTCCTGGTGCCAACGGGCAGGTGGAGATTGCGACAATCAAAAAGTGCTGAGGGTTCATAGAGGAATGGGGATGCATGAAATGGTCTCTGTGTGTGTGTGTGTGTGTGTGTATTTATGGTGGCGTACACAAAACGGCTACACGAGCAAAGAAATCATTTTTATCACCGCGGCTACATAAGAGTGTGAAAAATGAGTAAGGCAAATAAATAAATGTTTCCAATTCACTTAAAAATAAACATGTTATATTTATGCTCGACTACACAAAAGCCAAGAAACGCACACGATAATCCACAAACTCCAGTGAATACACAGCCAAATACATGTGTGTACATATGTTTGCACGTCTGTGTGCGTACTATTTGGTAACAACATAAAGAAAGTACCCCAAAAAAAAAAAAAAAAAAAAAAAAAAAAAACTAAACAATTTTATCGCACGCTAATCACAAATCGTCAAATCGGAAATGCGACTACTTTTGTTCACACAGGTTCGAGCACATACACACACACACGCGACTGGACGCAGGGGATTAGATAAAGGGGGTGGCAATAAGCGCATCAGTTTGTGTGCTACTTCCTCTGTTTTTAATCTATATATAGATTAAATATGTTCCGTAATAAAAAAATGAAATATATTCACACCAGGCGTGTGTATGTAATCAGATCTATGCATAAAACTAGTTTTTTTACTTAACATATTACTTAATATTAAAACATATGATTCATAAAAAAAGCGATTTATGAATAATTTATTTTGGTATTAATGGTTCTAACTGTCTCTTTAAGTATGTACATATTATATATGGAGATTACAAAGTTACACATATCAAATTTTATTGATATTGCAATGGAGACCTGTTCCATATGGCAGCAGGCATTCCTCAACTGGCCCCCGTTTCATTCTGTTTGGTTTCTCTAAAAAAAAAGTATTATCGGGATTTATGACG